CAGGAGCCGAAGCGGGGGCAGTTGCGGTATTCCCAGCGTACTTCAGCGTGACCTGCTGCCTCCTCTTATTTACCCCTTCAAATTGAGCCACAGTGGTGCAAATCGACTCCCACAGACTCCAAAAGATAGAGCCATGGCTGCTGCTGGGGTCCTGCGATTTGCAACAAGCATCCATCACAGTATGGGCCTTATCTATGTTTCCAGTACGTTTTTCTACTGCCGCCCACCACAGCGCCACACGTTGAATAGATTGAGGAGTCAACTGCCGCTGTTCCAGAAGTTTGATGCAGCACTTGCGTACCAGCTGACTCCCTTGGAGTGTGAAGGTGATATCAAGCACAGTGTCAACAAGGCCCATTATAAATGAGTCGCCATCACCATCACTCTCACTACAGTGCCTCAGCGCCAGGTGGAGAGACTCTTGCGCAATGCTAACAGCATTACCCGAGAGGCCCAAACGAGACTCCAAAGCAGAGCAATTCAAAAGAAATTCAACTGACGCAACCGGGCACGACGGCATGGTAGCTGGAGCCACTTCAAATCCTAACCGTGTAAGTTCGCGAAGCCGGTGCAGTGGCAGACGCTCCCCGAACGAAATACACAGACAACTCAAATATTGCTCCAGAATGTAGAGCAATGCCAACGGGAATTCCTTAAACGATACAAGAGCTCGCTCAAACTCTTGAAAAGCCTGGGTCTTGTTTCCACCATGCCAGAGGCGTGCAGCAACATAGCAAGCGCCCTCCGCTGTGTAACCACAAGAAGCACTAAACAAGTCAATGACCCGCCCAACTCTTTCGGATGAGCGATGAAACGCAACATCAAGGGCTAGAATCCATGCACGCGGATCCCTCTTCAAGTGAGGCACCACCACGCTCTTTATTAGACCCTTGGTTCGGATGCTGCTGGCATTCCTCTCAGAACCATTGACGATCTGAAGCTTCCGCAAAAGGTCTTCTAAGAACTCTGTTGAATTTCCTCTCAACAACGCAAACTCCAAGAGCAACCCCAACAAGAGTACGTTACTAGTGGAAGAAGAAAAGTCAACATACCACGCGCCATCCTTCACTACCGCAACAGCATCTGTTCTATAGCCATTTTCCCAGAGGTAGCATGCGTGAGATTCACAGAGTTGTGCCACCCCTGCATCTATTGCTTGGAGGCCTGATGTGCACTGTGTAATCGCCTGTCGATAGAGTGCAATCACATCACTATGCGAAGCCCTGCCATCAGAGACCATCTCACGAAGAAGTTCTGCACGTTTCAGCCAAATGGCAGTATTGTATCTGTCTTCCCGAAGTTGTAGTTGATTTAACAGCAGTGGGTACTGTTGTGTGAGGTGGAGTAGATGTTTCAGCGGATCACCCGCATCTCCGCAAAGCTTCTCACACACACATTGATACGCTGCACCATTCAGTGCCTGAATGGAGGGATCCATTGCCAAAGATTCCACTATCTGGTCCTCAAAGGTAACAGCTGCGTTGAACGCCTTGAGGAAGACCGACGGGTTATCGGCATCCTCCAGTACCTTCCAAAGTGTCTCTCGAGCCACGGAGAATTTCCCCTGGCCTGTCAGAAACACGGCGTATGAAATCTGGAACTCTGCTGGTGAGGCACAGTGCGTCACCGCCAAGCCTAACATCTTCTCCAGAAGTACAAAGTCACCAGTAAAGTGCAAATCTTTGGTTTCAAAGGCCACACGAATCATCTCCCAGAAAGCCGTATCGGCCAGGAAGTTTTCATGAGGATTTCCGTCAAGGAGAAAGACCGCACACTCCACCAGGAACTCACTCGTGCTTCCCTTCTCCCACAGCATGACAAAGTAGTCTCGCTGGTTTTCCGCTCGTGGATCAAACAAAAGAAACAGCCGCCAGAAAAATTGAGCTGTTTCGGTTGGCACATAAGATCGGAGAACCCACTGCTTCGCAAGCTTCCACACACGATAATGTTGAGTTACAGGAAGAGCCTCGAGTGCACGAGAAATTGTGTGTCGTACAAGCGTTATACGTGGGGGCACAGATGCATCCATAACGAACTGAATAAAAGAAATCCAAAGCAGCGGCATCATAGGCAAATTCACGACAGCTCTATCGTAGATGTCCCGCACTGCTCTAAACCACTCAAATATTGAGGAAAAGATCCTTGTGTGGTCTCGCCGGTACACAATATAGCTCATCCACAATTTGTAAGAAAATCCGTTTGCACGGATGGCGCGCTCATAGAGAATGTTTATGGCGTTGGCCTTAGCCGTTGCGCTTTCGAAGTCTGTTGCCTGAACAGCTTTAATGAGCTGGAGCCAAACCTTGACACATCCCGGACTGTGCAGCACCTCGAGTTCGAGAGCTTCAATGGCCAGGGATGCCATCACCGTTACCCTACCTTTCGAAGGAACGAAGACTGATCAAGAAGGAAAAGGGAGAAATGTAAAGGGGAAACGTAGAACAAGAAAAATAGTAAACATAGGCGTAATTAAGCGGAAGAAGCAAATCAGAGTATATGAAATAAAAGACGAGGTACTCAACCTAGCGCCGAGGTAGAATAAAGGGAAGATCACAAGGGCAGCAAACAAAAACATGGGCAAAAGCAAACACACAGCAAATCAGGTGTTCTGGTATCAACAGAAGTTCTTCTTTCTAATACGGAGAAGAATCCTTCGCACTTCTAACGAAGATTTGGTCAATAGTTTTTCCGCAAACTCCTCCGCGGACAGGCCGCTCTGCCGAACAAACGATGACGACTTGAGAAACGAAAGGGATGGGGCAAATGAAACCGCAATTATACGTTTCGGCATATCAGCTCCTCCAGTTACCGATGGCGCCACCGCCGCAGACTCAGCCGTGTCACACAATATACGCACCGCATCCCCGTCAACTAGGGAAGCATTACTGCTGCTGCACTGTTCCACTAGTTCATCAACCTTCGAAAGAAACGCGACAAGTCGCTGATTCTTAGCGCTGCGCATGGAACGCTTGATGGAGCTCCACGTCGCCTTGTATCCAAATCCCTTGATGTCGGCAAACTCGCCAACGACGATGACGGTGACACTCAGTCCAAGGAGGAGTACCTCCTTCAAGTCGTCGAGTTCGCACTCCGCGGCACGACGAATGACAACACTTCGCACGCGCTGACTCCATTTGAAGCGGTAGTTATGCTCGGCGCTCAGGCGCGTGATAGTATTGCACATCGTTGAGCACCCACTGCCGGGGCATCCCGTCACAGCGACTATGTGTGTAAACAGATAGCAGCACCGGAGGTGGAAAATGAGGCAAACCGCCCACAATGCGGCTGACTCCAATAGAATATCTGAAGCGGCACTTTCAATTGCTGGAACAGAAGCGAGGAACAAGGGATGCACATGCTGATAAAATGTTTCGAAGCTCATGCTTTGATGAAGGCTTGTCAAGTGCCGCAAATTGCTTACCCCACACGTATTTCGAAGATAACGCAGTATGTGAGTAAATAGGGAGAGCTCCAGTGAAACGAGTGGGGTATCGCGTGGGGGCGGTACATTTTCAAAGAGACTCAAGAGCGAGCGTACTTTGCCACCGTACTTTGAATCACTCAGCCATGGAAGTCCTTGCTGCAGACGCTGCTTCCACGTCGTGAGCTTGGATAGCAGCGTTGACACGGTCCTTTTTTTACTGTTGACATACTCCCCCATTGTAGTATGGAGCAGCTCTGCCTCACCCTTGAACGGTACACGTATAGGCATCGGAGTCATTGCCTGTGTTGGAAGGCCAGAATTGGAAACTCTGGCGGCAACATTGGCCACTAAGGTGAACAAGCTCACACTCTGTTTTTTGGTAGCGTAATGACTCGCCACCTCGCTTGCAGTGGCAATCGCCCCGAGAATCTGCGTGGAAATTTGAGGTGTGAAGCTGGGCTTGTGAGTGTCCTTCGTCACTGGCGTAGTCAAGAGCGGTTCTACTACAATGGCATTGTCGATAAGATTCATCGGCAGTGATAATAACCACGCGTGAGAGAGCTTGCTCCTGCACCCAAGGAAGAGGAGCTTGGTGACATCACTGGGAACCTCGATTGGGTGATTTTCATATGAGGTGTAGCCGATGTCGGTGAGGAACGCAACATCTACTCGCAGCTGCCGCAAAGGCTTCCGACGCACAGATGACTCAAGACCAACCATCTCCACCAACGAAAAGGTTGCTGTTACCTGCCTGGGACTCACAGACGTCACTGACGCAGCTGCCGGCCATCCACTTTGAGATGAGACGCAGATTTGCGGTTTGTACTGCAGGTTGGTACCCGTGATGCGGAGGGACACAATGGTACCATCCTCCACAGTGTGCGTTACCGCAGTGATCACGGGGGAAAGTACCGCGTCTCCCCCCGGTAACAACAAGCGGCTCAAAATACGAAGGTGCCCAGAAACGTCGAGGAGCTCATGGCACTCCTCCTCGCTGAGTCGCTCCAAACGGGAGCACTGTGACTGTAAGTAGTGGCAGCCCTCATTCAAATCCAGGATGGGCCCGCACCGCACACCAAGCGGCATATTGAAGCGCAAGTCAGCAGCATCACTATTCACCACTTCTTTCGCATCCTGCGTGGGAAACAGTGCATTCGAATATCCACAGAAAGGATCAGCTGTAAGAAGGAGACTCGTATAGTATAAAAAGTTGCCGCTAAAAGCCGAGGAAGATACGAGCATCAGCGAGTCCTCAAGAAACATGCGTCGTGGCGACCCATACGCAAGACAAAAAATGCGCCTACGTAGGGATCTAGATGTCTCTGAAACGGAGCTAATTAAAAGATGCGCTGCCAATGCAGCAGACGAGCCCATCTCACCAATGCCGCAGAATACCGCGCATGCCTCCTTTTCTTCCAAAAACTCTTGAATACTGTAGTGGCGCAGTCTTTCCCGCTGCTTCACGAGTGCCTTGGAGCATATAACGAAATAGAGCACAATGGACGAGGGGATCGGTGGTGGTGGAGCATCGTAGACGACCTCAACCACGATGCAGGCGAAACTAGACTCGAGCATACGAGCGTGGCTCACTTCTGCCTTGATGATACCACGCCCAGGAGGGATTGCCTCGACGCACTGAGCCCCATTGGCGGAGAAAAGAAGACCATCAAATATGCAACGGCAACGCATGGAGGTGCTGTGCAGCCATGGCATTGGGATTGTTACGCTGGCATCGATCTTACACACTGCCGAACTGAATGCAACAATGTCGCTCAGAACACTTCCTCGGGCGATGATACGAACGTTGATGATCTCGTTTGGGTAGTGCACTTCCATAATGAAATGACAGGCACTTGTAGTTACCGAGCCGGATGTTCTGTTCAAGCTGTGGTCTGTGCCCCACTCGACGACGTAGGACCATTGAATCCTGCGGTCGGTGTCTGTCAACTCGTTGGTGGTGCGCGGCGGGTCCCAGCATATGAGCGCGCACGTCGGGTAGACGGCGCAGATGTCGGGCTCCCGCATATGGAACCCCGGGTGGCCGAGAAAAGACTTGTCGCCCCCACGCACATCCATTCCACGGAGGGGCACACCTACACAGAAGGAGCTGGAGGACGAAACAAAAAAAAAAAAAATGTTAAAGATTTGCTGCAGGCTCACATGAAATCAACCTGAGCAACGACAAAAAAAAAGCAAAGCACACACAGACATTGGAATGTGAGTACCAAAAGAGAAAAAAAAAAACAAAAAAAAAGGGCACTCCAAAGAACAAAAAGAGGGATGCAACCATGTGCATCTCAAAAAGCCAGTGAAGACCTCTTCGCCCTTGACTCTACTCTGCTTCCAACAGGAACGGGTGCACAACGTGAAGCTCTGCGCTGACGCACAACACAATCTGGCGGTAGTGCGCTGTGAGCTGGTGCGCCGCGCCGAGCATAACAGGCACAGCTCTGTACACCATGAGACTCGCCACATGAGCGAACGATATCATGTTATCAAAGTCGCAATCGATGGGGCTAAAGGTGCGAAGGAAAGGCTCACGTAGCAGCAGAAGACCATGCGCCACACAGCGATGGAAGGGTTCGTCTTCCTGCAAGAACATTGATGCACGGAGTGCTTCAAGCCAGAGCAGCAGCACCAGTTCAACCACCTCACAGTACAGGGATATCGGAACACCAAGTAAAAACCCGAGTTGAGCCCGGGGGCACAGACGACGGGAATACAGAATAAGAAAAGGAATCCATTCCATTGAAGGAACGCCAGGCACATCACATGTCGCCATCTCGTGTATATTCTCTATTGAAAGCCCATGGATCCCCACAAATTGTTTAATAAAAGCATTTGTTACCGCCTCCACATCCTCTCCGTGGAACGCAAGGCACTGTACGAAATGAACCATCAGCAATGGGGACTGACAGGAATCCAGTAACGACCACACCAACGCGAGAAGAGACAACACACCATCGCTCTGGCCCAGCAAGCGAAGATATTCGTCCCATATCGCAACTAATCCTGTTTCTGAGTGCATTGGCGACTTTACAAGAACTTGATCAACCAATTTCGCATCGACAGAAAAGGCACGCATCAGCGAGAGGTGAATAGCAGAACGCATCCACTCCGTGAGTTCCACATCAATGCCTGCATCGTTGCACCTTGGAAGAAGGGTTAACTGCTTTGTCAGAAGCTGTCTGCATACCTCAAGTGGGCGACTCGGGAAGTGCTCACTGAGCACAAACGCAACATCGGAAATAGATGCCAGTGGGAGGGAGCTGGCCCCCTCCAGCCGCCCCGTCTGCTGCAGGGCAACGAGCATCAGCATCAAGTTCTGTTGTGCCAGCGGCAGGAGACAGAAACGGCCTGGAACATCAGTTACGGCTATGAGGAGCTTTGTGGCTGCATTCGCGTCCGTTTCTGAAACATGGATACACGTTACAGCGATCATATACGCGTTGTACCGTGCCGCTGTTTCACTCCACTGAACATCACGCTGAGAGAGCGTTAAGGTCGCCGCCTGTGCAGAGAGTGATTGAGCCGCACGTATGCAGGCATCCACACAATCAGACATCGCGCAGCCGGACCTCAGAAGCGCCAATACGTAGCTGAGCTGAATGGACGGGGACGTAGGGAACAGAGCCACACCTTGGGTCGCAAGCCAGAGCAAACGATCAGGCGTGGTACCGGCGACCCGCATGAGGCAGCGCCACGATAACGACTCGGAGTGCTTCTGGAAGAGTTCCGTCGCACCACCGAGAGGTCCTGAGGTCGCACACATGATATGCGCCCACATATCGCTTTCACTCTGGTCGCGCAGGAGTGAAGTCACGTGATGTAGCGACTTGTCCAACCTCGGAAGCAGCGGTGTCTCCCACCCGGCGATCTGTTTTCTTCCTTCTTCCTTTTCCCCCTCTTCATCCTCCAGCAAAAATATTTTTTCCCACCCGAGGGATACAACACAATTGACGGCATCCCGCTGTATTCGCACAGCGTCCACAAGACTGGAAGCCGCATCAATGAGCGCACTAAGATTCTCGAAAATGGCTGAAGCGTCACATATAGCGCTGTTTCCTTTAGTAAACAGCACATAACGGGAAATGAGGTGCCGGACGCCAAGCTTCACACGTGCTAACTGATCCTTGTGCCAGTATGGGCATGCCAGGTTCTTGCAGCTATCCGTGTCGGTCTCCATCAGGCAGGCCTCATCAAAGAAGTTTGGCTCTGTCACTCTCTGTGCCATCATCGGCGGCGAGTCACTGAGGGTGAAAAGTGGCGCGTACCGGGAGAAAAAACAACGTCTTGTCGCCTCATCGGTTCTGTAGCACGGTGTCAGCTGTCCCCTGGTGACGATGCTGACAACATTAAGAGGGCATTGAGGGCTCTGATGATCTTCGGCATTCGACGTGTCATGCAGCTCTTGTGTCCCCGACGTTTTCTGCAAAACAATTTGTTCGTCAAGACGCTTCAAAATACTAGAGAGGAGCGAGATTCTTCCCTCACCCCACTCGATCTCCTCCATCATCCGCTGTCGACGCAAATCCATCTCCTGCAGTGTGTTCTTCTTCTCCCCGAGTGACTGGTACATGCCCCGAAGTGCATCATCAATTTCACTGCGTTGCTTCTCCAAAACCGCGATGCGCTGACTGGAAGAATTGTGAGGGTGGCCGCGCTGAATCAACATCTGCCTCAGCGCCGGATGAATCCATTCGTCCGGTACACTTGTCTTTGGGGGGATGGATTCCATGACTACGATACGCACCAGGGCCCAAAATAACGAATAACGAAACAAAAAAAAAGAACGAGAAGATTTTTTTTTTTTTTACACCATGTGAGGAGCGAAAGCATCCGTATGTATTTTCACCACATCACCATCATGGAGCAGGCAGTTTTACGTTTCTCTATGTACTATGAGGACGCAGTTCCCCCATCACATACCTCTTTACGCTCAAGTATACCTCCAATACCCAACAAAGGTTCGCTAATGAATCGTGTTTGGATATAAGCTCTCACCTGTGTGCCTCCGTGAAAATAAAAAAAAACATTCGTACCACCCTAACGCCCACCACAAGAGATCACTATACCTAAGGGGAAAAAAAAAATGATCAACGTTGAATTAGTCCCCAGACATACTACAACACATGCTAGACACAACTAGGTTCCTTTGTGTTCCCTCCATCTACTCTGCGGTGTATCCCCTTGTCCTGAGTTATCTCTCGCATTCTAACTCCACTATCCCAGAGAGACCGACTCTTTATCTTCGCTACTTAGAAGAGCTGTGACGCATTCAACTGTGGTGATAAACCTCTCTACCGGCTCAAAGTGATTCAGTATTAAGGCTGCCAGGGTAATCGCCAGGTACATGTAGGAAAACACGAAGCAACCGCGACAGTGCAACTTTGGATCACAATGAAACAGCCACGCCTTGTATACCATAAGAAAGTTGGCAATAACCATCGCGGGGTAGAACCACCCTTCGACAGGCATACCGATAAAGGACGGGCCAGCCAGCGTCATGACAGCCATCGCGAGGGAGAGAAGCACGGCATAAAAAGATGCACGCCACGGGTTGTAAAACGCCAGCATTTTGTAGCCAGCGGACTCATAGTCGCGACGGCAATGAAAGCTCAGTCCCATGAAGTGCGGAATCTGCCACGCCACAAGGAGAGCTCCTAACAGCCACGCAGGACCTGTCACGGCATCCACTGCAGCTATGCCACCCATCAGAGGGGGTATTCCCCCAACAATAGAGCCTACCCACGTATTCACAGCTGAAACACGTTTAAGTGGGGTATACACAGCAACGTACAGAAGCCAGTTAAACACGCCCAGAGCGGCCACGTGTGGGTTTACAAGGTATAGAATGCCAGTGCCAAGGAATAACTCAGCACCACTTAAGGCTGAGGCCTTTGTTCGTGTTACGTAGCCCATTGGCAAGGGCCGACGGCACGTTCGCTTCATCTTCTTATCATGCTCCACCTCTATGACCTGATTTGCCGTGTTTGCTGAGCAGCACTGTAAGAGAGTGCCAACAGTTACCGCCGATGCTATCACAGGACTCGCCCCGCCACATATTACGTATCCTACTACTGATGTAGCAGTAACAAACGCAGATAATCGAATTTTTCCTAGTTGGTATATTATTTGCTGTGTTGGTAATGTCTTGATACACTGCTGCGTTTCTATCGGGCACCGCAGCTTAGGGGTTACGCCGAGTACGGGGCAAGCCGCTGTCTCCGTGCTTGTCGCCACAGACTCCAGCTTCTGCTCACCCAATGCAGCGGTGAATGGACACTTCGCCACGGGGTTTGACGTGCCTTGGAACGCAAGAGAGCCGTGGCCCCTGAGCCGAGAGCCCCTGAAGAGGGCGCGGCGGATCATCACCGTCGCGGTCTATCGTCACTCTCGCCACAACCCACACACAACCCGCAAGTGGTCAAGCTGAAATAAAGCAAAACAAAAAAAAAGATATGCGGAGAGAAATATGAAGAAAAAGAGAAAGCGCATACGCGTGCATATATCACGGCGAGACTGCACTCCCCATCCACAACGAGCCTTCACCTCCTGTCAATCGCACCGCTCATAGACACACAAACGTCGACGGCGAAGAAAAGATTCTCAACCACTTCCGTTATATCTCTGGCTCTCTCTCTAAATCACCATCAACGGAAAGGCAGAGGAAGTGCTATAAGAGCCTTTTTTTAACGTGTGCAATCCTTTTTTTTTTCTTTCGCACCAACGCTACGTAGGAATGGCGTATATATATATATCTACATATATACATACACCACACCTCTCAATTTAGTTTACTAAGAACCTCTGCAACATCGAACGGGGCAAAGGCGTGGCCGTCGGCGGCGTAAAACTTGTTGTTGAACTCCACCCAGTGCAAACGAAGGGCGTGCAGAAAGGCGGAGAGAGACTCCATGCCCAACAGAACACCCAGCGTCGCGCACATCCACACACAGAACCCGACAAAGACAAAAAGACCCAACCCACCGTCCAGGCCGACCGTCAGGAGGAATGCGAAGTTCCAGAACACCTCCGACAGCTGCGAGTGGGCGAGAGAAAGCGCCCACAGACGCAGGTACGACGCGGTGTTGGAAACACAACCGAGGACATACTCAATAGTATGAATAACCTGGTGGATCATGACCTCGCTGAAGTCGAAATCATCCTCCTCTTCGTCCGACTCATCCAGGAGAGACTTGCGAGCCATTTTTTCGTCATGATGCTTCTTCTCCATGTACGGAATCACGCATAAAAGCAATGGCACCATCGCGAAGGCAATGAGGAGCAGGATGACTTGAATAACGGCTTGTCCCTTGTACAGAGGAACCGTCACGGTTCCAGGCTGAAGAAAGAAATTTGTCATGGTCTCTAACAGCGACGGTGCATCGTGTGTGCGGTTCTCCCACGCGATGCACCACTTTACAACGATGAGGAGACACATGTAGCCGAAGGTGCACGAGAGAAACACAATTTCGGGCACAAAGCGGAACCACACCTGAAGCTTATCTCCAAAGTAAAGATGGTTCATTAATGACAGCACAACTCCCGCCATCATCTGTACAACGCCAATAATTACAGAACACTTCATCTTGATAGAGTTGTAAAACTCCAGCTTATTCTCCGTTTCTGCCCATGCCGAATCAATGCCGAAAATAACACTGCTGTCAGGCGTCACACCAGTAGGTGATAAAGGGCGGACGGTCCCCTCCGGCCCGTTTGGTGGCAGCTGCGGCCAGCGGTAGCCGGAAGCAAACACCTCCACCGAAAAGCCAAACATGTCGTTGTAGAGGAAGCCAAGGTACACGGCGAAAAGACCCATAAACAGCAGCAGATATCTGCCCCCAAAGATCATGGCAAAAATCTCATTAAGCGGCTTCCCCTCCCAGCTCTTCTCCATGAAGATGAGAAATGCGGCAAAGACGGTCAAAATGACGCCATGTCCAATATCACCGTACATGACGCCGAATAGGTACGGGAAGGTGACGATCGTAAAAACGCCTGGGTTGACCTCCTTGTAGCGCGCCATGCCGTAGCTGTCAACGATGCCCTGGAAGGAGCTCGTGATTTTGTTCGTGCGGAAATAAGTGGGCGGCGTCCCTTTCGCCACGAGCTCCTCCACAACCGTCAGCACCTGCGCACCGCTAAGGTGCTCGGCCTCCTGAAGCACCGCCCGTATGTCATCTAACGCGCGCACTGGTGCCCATCCCTTCGCGACCGCCGTTGCGCCGCTGAAACGCAGCATGTTCATCGTCGAGTACACTGCCTTCTCAACGGCGACAGCGCGGCGCCATTCATACACGTTGCCTGCGAGCGCCATCAGAAGCTGACGTTGACGAAGTGCAGACTGATGTAACGTATGTGTCACCGTCTCCACTTGATTTTGGAGCGAATCTCGCATGCCCTGCAGCTGTTCCTCATTCTCAGCATAGGCGTAGAGAGTGGCGCCGTTCACTTCACTAATCTTTGAAAGAGTCTCCCGCAAGCGCGGTGCTGGGAAGTAAATCCCAAAGATGCACTTGTAGACGGCTTGGTTTGTCGTAGTGTTGTAAAACGGTGTTTTTATATCGTCCGTCTGCATCACCGAGTTGCCACGGGTGGTGCGATACACGAGGCGCTCTAGGGTCGCAAGACGTTCCTTTGGAATGACGCCTGTCAACAAGTTAAGACCACGGCTCTGCGTCGAGGATCCGCCGAACTCACGGCTGAGCACCTCCAGATGCTCACGCGAGCGGTTGCGCTCCTCGATAAGTGACTGGTACTGCTCGTTCAGCTCGCGTACCTCACTCTCACGTTCGTCAACCTTGTGCTCCAGCGAGAACATCGTCTCCTTCTCCGCCACCAGGTCAGGAATGGCCGTCACACCTGCCTTATTAATCTCATCCTGCAGGTAGCGCAGCTTGCGCTCCATGTCGTCACAGCGGCGCACCTCTTGCACAAAGTCACGCTGGAACGCACTCACGTCGGTGTTGAGGTCGATGAACTGAAAGCCAGCGAGCTGCCCAAGCTTCAGCACCGAGTCGTGCGCCGCCTCTCGCTGCATGGTGAGCTGCAGCATCTTCATGTCCTCCGACCGCCAGAGACCACTGGCGGCTTCGCGCGGCATGGCTTGTGTGTTTCCTTGGTTGTGTTCAAATGCGCCCTCCACTACTATCTCCGCTGTTCCTTCACTTTATATATGTATATATACACACACCTAGAGAGAGAGAAGGTTTTTTTTTCTTTTACTGCTCTTTTCTTCTTCGCTCTTTTTTCCTTATCGTTTTGCAGCTTCGCCACGAAGGGCTCTCAAAGAAGATGGGGGCAACGGATAGGAGCGGGGCGAAGCCAGGAGCTCCGCGAGTGTGCGCGCGGCGGGACACACGCAGCGAACACCACACACAGAGGAGGAGGAGGAGGAGGAGGAGTTAAAAGGAGAATCCATGCGGAAGCAAACAGGAAGGAGAACAAAACTAAGACTATCTGTGTTGAGCGTGGAGAGGGTAGGCACCCCCGCGCCGCGCCGGGGCTTGGCACTTCTCAATATGCAGCAAGAGGCGCTGGTTGGGCCGAAGCTGCGCCAACAAGCGGCAGACGCCAAGAGCACCACCTTCGAGGAGGCGCTCAGAGTCCCCCCGCAGGGCGTCCGCGGCCGATTTGATTTCCCCTGCAAGTGCGGCGTCGAGGCGGTGACGGGTGCCGTACGCGCCGACACTTTCCACGCGCTCCACCCGCAGCTCGTGTGGAATAACGGAGCGCAGGTACAACTGCGTTGGTTGCAGGAAGAAGCCGACAAACGTGGAGCACGGCAGCGCCAGCTGGTGCGGTGGATCCAGCAGCGGCTGCTGGGTTGTGAGGAGAAGCACCTCCTCCCGCAGCTCCGTGGCGAGATGGTGAAGCCACTCCGCAGGGCTGCGATCGTAAGCGTCTGACTCCATCGGCCGCAGCACCCACCCGTCACCGTACAGCATGTCATCGCTCACAGCGTCGGCACCCACAATACCGTCGACGGTAAGCACGGCCTCCCTCGCTGTCCATCGCTCACGCTCGTACTGGGAAGTGCAGGCGACACGACCGCAGAGCACAAGCGTCTCGCGATCGGCGGCGTCGCCGCTGGCCTCCTCCACGCCGATGTCCTCCGCCGCACAGCAGCGTGAGGGTAGAAGAAAGAAGGAACGGCGAGCTCGGCACGGCACGGTGTAGCGGCCAAAGCGCAGCGACACGTTCACTTGCTGCTGCAGCTGCAGAAACGGCGTGAGGGCCTGCTGCACCGCGCCACGGACACTCGACGGCGCAATAGGAGAGCGGACGCAACGAATTGCAGGCGTCAAAACGAGCACTGTTGTGGTCAGTGCAGTCACATCCAGGTGGATGGACACTGACACACTGTCCATGAACGGTATCGCAAGGAGTTTCGCGGCGTGAATAAGGCGGCTGAAGTCGTTGATGGTTGTGAAGGTTGTGAAGAAAAGAAGATTGCGCTGGACACCCGCGGCGCGTTGCAGCTCTTGCAAAGCATCCACGACACACTGGTCCGTTTCACGCGATGGGCAGCGCAATGGGGCCAAGCCGTTCAGCAGCTGCACCGCCTCCGCGGCGTTGCTGGCGTGGTGCGTGGCGTTCCAAACCGGCACAAGGCGGCTGGCGTTGGCTGCGAAGACCTCCACCCGTCGACACGCACCCCCTTTTACCAGCGCAGCGGCACACGACAGCGCAAGCATCTCGCCGACCGTGGTAATGAATGTACTCCTGGCGGACTCGAAGAGCTCCATGTCGGCGTAACGCAGATCAAAGACAATTGTCACCACCTCGCACGCCATTGGAAAAGACTAGGCGCACTGCAACAGAGGCAACCAACACGGAAAGCAGCAGCAGCAATTGGATGGAAGAGGCAGAGAAGACATACATGTAACCCCGGAAGGCAAAAAAAAAATAGCGTTAGAGGGAGATCGTGTGTGTGGAGAGGAAAAAAGCAACAAAGCGAAGGCAACATATGAGCATACTCCTCGCCAATCGACATTTCAACGCTAGTCTGACAATGATAACAGCCGGTTCCATTCAGAAAAAAAAAATGGGAATACAGAAACGAATTTTATTATTATTGTCTTCTCCAGTTCGCATTCCACAGCTTGTATAACTATTACATCACATCAGGGTAACATCTCCATTACAAAGCAACTGCCTATCCACAGCACTCTTATGGCGCTCACACCACTGTTTGTACTCGTCAGACTCACGCAACTCTTCCATTATGCTCGTCTGACGTGCGTTGCCCGACACGTCAATTGCGTTGAGTGACGGGGCGACGGCATACACCGAGGGATCTATGCGTTCGAGTACCCCGTGCTGCGACGCAATGTTGAGCGTCCTCATCTGTGGGAGCACCGCCTGCAGTGTCTGAGGCGCCACCTGCATCGATACGAGCGTGAAGACGCCACCAATGTGGTTTCCGTCCAGAAGCAGCTCGCGGAGGGAGGGGTACGGCTCCATCTCCCCATCGGCAACGTCATTTAGGCAGAACTTTTGAATCCCGCTGCTGCCGAGATCCACCGTCGCCAGCGCCGCGCCAGGTCCGATGCAGCGAGCAAGACCACCGTCGATGGTCAGCCGCAGATTGTTCCCACGGCATATCAACCGCCGCAGCTTCGGAAACAGGCAAAGAAGAAGCGGCGGAAGCTGGTGCAGTGAGTTGCCCGACAGGTTGAGGGACTCAAGCGGGTACGTCACACGCGTATCGCTATAATGGTGCACGCCTGTCGCCGATCGGGTGCAAGCGCCGAGGCGGCCCATCACACAAGCACACGTCAGGCCGTTTGATGACAGATCAAGCGTCCTCAACGAGGACCAAAGCTGCAGCCGCATAAAGGCGGGCGGCACAGGCTTGCGAAGCTTGTTTCCGTCGAGCGCCACGCTGCGCAGACATTTCATCGTTTCCATGCCGGCTACAACATCCCTCCACGAGCGGATGCCGCACCTGCTGCAGCTCAAGATGCCGGTGGCGACGGCGACACTGACGCGCTCCTTCGGCAAGCCGCTACCCATCCGACTCTGTCGTTGTGATGCGGAAAGAGAGCCGCTGGCCGGCACCAAAAGAGAAAATGAGAGAGAGAAAATGTATTCGTGTGAGACTGTGTAGAATAGAAAGGGAGTGAGCTTCGCATCCGCAGAAGTGCACCGCCTGCCTCACCCACCAGTATTACACCCCAACCGACCCTTGCGCACGCGCGAGACGCCCCCTGTGCCTCCTACTGCGGCCCCCCCTTCGCCGGGTAGTAGCGCTGCCCAAAGAGACTGCTTCCCACACGCACAACCGTTGATCCCATTTTGATGGCGTTCTCATAATCGCCGCTCATCCCCATTGAAAGCGCGAGCGAGTCAACGGGGATGCCGAGTGCCGCAGCCACATCCGCGCGGCAGCGCAGCAGACAGTCGAAGTTCTCCGGGCGGCTCGTGTAGTCCGGCATACCGATGGTCATGAGGCCCGCCAGGTTGAGGTGCTTACAGTTCGCTTGGATGTGCTGTGCGAGCTCCACTGTCGGCTCGCCTGGCTCTGTGCCACTCTTTGACTCCTCGCCACTTGTATTGACTTGGAGATACACATCTAGCGCGCGGCCGCCACGATACGTCACGCACCCGGTGTCCAACTTCGACGCGAGCTTGGCGCTGTCGACTGTTTGCACGACACACAAGCTCTCCGCCCCCTCGAGGAGTTCCTTCACTTTGTTGCTCTGCAAATGGCCAATGAAGTGCCAGCGGATATCCTTTGGCAACACGCCCGCCTTCTCGACGAGCTCCTGGACGTAGTTCTCACCAAACGCACGGTGACCACAGTCGTACAGCGCCTGTAAGCACGTCGGCGACTTTGTTTTGCTCACGGCTACAAGCGACACTGGCCGTCCGTCCGCCGCAGCGTCAATCCGGTCCAACACGGCCTTGTAGCTCTCTGTGATTTGTACCGCAGTGGGCTCGCTGGCGATGTCGTACCGCGACATTGCGGCTCTTGTTAAGAAACGGGTGAATCGAAGCAGATTGAGCGTTCTTATCAAGCGTCACACCACACGTGCAGGAGGACAAAGAGGAGAAGCACGAGGATTGCAACGAACAAACGAGCGTCCAGAGGTACGAAAGAAGAAAAGAAGAAGGCAACGCACTCACATAAGCAAAAAAAAATAAGTAAATGTAGATAGAAAGACAAATAGATAGATGCAAGAAAGTAAGTGTGTGTCAACTACAGACACATAAGTGCGACAACACCAGCTACTCCTTTCGGGCTGCCTTCGCAGGAGGTGCCTTGCACTCATCACTGCTCGACTCCCCATCCAGCTGTTGTTGCCGCGGCCGCTTATTGTCCTTCTCTCTTTCTTCCTCCTTCTCCTCTTCCTCACCTGCGGATATGAATGAGTCCGTGGTCTCTTCGTCCTCCTCAGAGCTACTGCTGCTCTCATCCGTATCCGCCACCACAACCTCCTCACCGGTCCTGCACTTGGAGTCAAGCGCCGCGAGGCGCGGGAACAACGCAAATATGTCGCCGAATCGTGACGCCTCGTCCACCTTGTTGTCTGTGGCGTCGAGCACCTCCAATTCGGGGAAGGCCGCTGCCAGCCGCTCGAGCTCCGCCCACTCCGCAATGTTGTTGTTCGCAACGAACAGCTTCTTCATGCCTGGGCACGTCGGGAGGTCCTCCGCGACGGCGATGGCGTTGTCGCTCACGTCGAGCATCCGCAGCGCCGGGAACGTGGCAAGTGGAATCGACAGCAGGGTTTTGATCTTCGGCTTCATCGACACCAGCGTGAGGTGCGTTAGGGTGGTGAAGCATGTCAAGCGGTCCGCCAGCAGCGGCACGTCGCTGAGCGAGATGTCCGTCACATCCTCCGGCGGGATGTCCTTCGTCTGCTGCTCGATGCGGAACACCGTCGTCCTCTTCAAGAGTTCCATGACGGTGTGCGCGGTCTTCCTTGCTGCAGGTGCACGGTGAGAATCAAGAATAAAAACAAACGTAGTGAGGCGCCGCAGACGCAACGAATAGGCCCACGTAAGAAAGAGAAAGGCGGAAAGAAAAGGAATCGCCTTGCGAGGGAAGGCCGCACCCCACAACAGCGGGTCGACCAACACACGTGATACTAGAGGCTTGGCTGCAGCAGCCTGGTCTCATCAAAAGAAGAAGAAAATAACAATACGCAAGATACCAAGAGAAACATATTTAAGCGCAGAAATGCGCCAATTTTTTTTTTTCTTCTGTTTGGTTCTTGTTCCTTGGTACGGCTCCTTTACGCACACACACACACATACAAACAGAGGCTCGCCCAGGGATCATCTTGCTCATCGATGGCGCCCGACGATGTCGTGAAGTTGGGCAGTGCGGCTGTACTACACAGTTCGTCGCGGCTGTGTGCACCTACACGTGTATATCAGTATAAGTACATGTGCACATGATTCGGCATGGTAGAAGAATTCTCTCTTAAAAGGATTGCGTGCAAGCAGACCGCAAGCACACATGTACACCTTCCCGGCTATTGTTTTTTTGGTTTTATTCTCTCTCTCTCTCTCTCTCTCTCAACCAAGCACCTGCGGTACCTCACGTGCTTTTATTATTACTTCCCCACCACCACCACCGCCACCACTGCAGCCACTTGCCAGCACCTTCCTCGCAACCTTTTGTATTTGATTCTCGTGCGTGCGTCCTCCTCCCGCTTACATCTCCCCCCGTGACTCGAGACGCCGTGTGGGGCTGCGCGGCATCAATACAGCTCCATGTACTCGAGCTTCTGCAGGTCCTGGTACGGCGTGCAGAGCACCAGACTGTTGCGGAGGTGCTGAGAGTTGATCACGTCAACCATCCACCCCTTCGCACGGTGGGCGTTGATGATCTCGCCGAGCGCCTTCGTCCCGTCAAAGTCGACGCGCGTCACGAGCGACATGTCGAGCACAAGGCGCTTCAGCGTCTCCGGCGGCATCGACTCGCGGAACGAGACGCTCTTCTCGAATATAACGGACTTCACACTGTCCGCGTTGATAAACAGAATCGACGCCTGCGGCTGCACGATGAGGACGCGGAACCTGATCGGGTCCGGCGTCCGCGGCGACGCGAAGACCTCGTCCTCCTCCTCGAACTGCACGCTGGAGTCCACCGAGTCGGTGTAGTTCAGCAGCACACTAATCATCACGCCAACAACGAGGCCTACGAACGTGTCCGTCAGCGTGCACGCGGCGCAGGTGATGATGGTCGAGTACAGATTCGCCGTGTCAATCACTTGCAACACGTGCAGGTCGTGTAGATCGACCAGCTTGTATGCAACAACCATCAAAATCGCCGCAACAGTCGCCATGGGCAGCTCGCGCAGCAGCGGAAGCAGTACGCTGCAGAGCACCGCAACTGCCACACACGAGAGAAGCCCGGCAATGCGCGAGAAGCCGCCGGAGTGCACCATCAGCGCCGTGCGCGCCAATGCTGCAGTCGACGGGATGCCGCCAACAAAGGCACTGACAACATTAGAGATGGCCAAGCCCAACGTGTCGCGCGCACTGGAGTAATTCAGGTACGACTTGTCATCCACGTGGTTGTTGGCAATCACGGAGCTGAGAAGCGTTTCCATCAGACTTACGGTGGCAATGCCAAATCCGTAGACAATAACTGTGGGATTGAACCACTTGGCTCCAATCAGCACGTCAAGGGGCTCGAAGGAAAAGAAGTTGAGCGTCAGGTCAGGATACTTCATGCTAAGGAGAACGAGCGACCCCCGTGGCATAAGGTGCGCAACCAGAATACCGAATAACGTAAATATGATCTGCCACGGTACTTTATTGTAACGCCTTGACAAAACAAGCAATGGAATGATTGTCACAAGGAAGAGTAGCGTGTCGGGGACACTAATGGTGCCGATGCATCTAGAGTCTTCCCTCAGCTTCTCCAGCAGCGTCTCCTTCGGCTGGACGCCCTTCAGTCCCAGCGCTGAGGGGATTTGCCCAACAGCAATCACAATGGCAACACCGCAACCGAAGCCATGTGCCACGCCGGAGCTCACAAATCGCAGGAGTCGATTCACGCGGAAGAGGAAGAAGAGCATGATCCACAGTCCCGCCTGTAGCGCGAGCGGCGCCAGCACATCCACGCCGAATGAGGTCACCATTGACGCGAGCAAACCGCTGAGGGCTCCTGTAGGTCCAATGACGTTGAAGTGTGAGGAGCCAAAGAGGGCGGCGACAGCGCCCGCCCACACGCAGCTCACGATGCCCTGCGCGGGAGTTGCGCCGCTGCCAATTGCCAGCGCGATGCTTAAAGGCACGTTCACAAGCGCCACCGTCAGCCCCGCCTTGAGGTTGGCTGTAAAGTTGTAAAAGAGCGGTTTGTGTCGGGGCATGAATACCCACTCCAGCCACGTGCGTTGTGGCTGCAGGTTCTCGCCCAACGCCGTCTTTGGCGAGCCAAAGACATCGACCGGCCGCAGGAAGCAGTTGACCATATCTCGGCACCACTTCGATGCGCGACAAAACGCCTAGGTTACTTTTGTAATGTTGCACCAGCGATGGCTGGATAATCTTCAGGCAGACATACACACACACACCAATGGATACAGAGGGAGGCGAGCAAGGAGAGAAGGGGAGGAGGAGGAGGAGGCCACCTGAACAAAACAACAACAACAAAGGACGTAGAAAGCAAACGATATGCCTTAATAGCAGCTTCTCTACGCTAAGAAGTGAGGGCAGGAAATAAATACCTAAAATTAAACAACCCAACCCACGCTGGCATTACCGCTGTGTCACGCCAATACTGTGCCACCACGTGTGGTCGCTGGTGGCATCGAAGTCCACGAAAAAATCGTTCACCTCCACCACGTTCGCCCGCTGCGCGTACTCGTCCGGGGTGAGCTCGCGCCACTCGTCGCTGTCGTCAAGATCGAGCATCCGCAACTCCTCGCGAATGACGATGTGCGGCTGCCCGTCGGGGCGCCTGACCGCGTACTCATTGTAGAGCCGAACATCCCGCATCCACACGCGGTAACCGTCGACGCGGATGAAGTGCCGGTAAAGAATAAAAAACGCCTGCGGCATGACGCGGACACGAACAGAACTCGTCACAACACCATGGTCGTGGAGGTCATCCTCCATAATGTCAAAGTTGTGGAAGAAGAGGATCGGCAGTGACTGATCCTTCAGCAGGTCCCAGTTCACCCCAGGCATGGAGGGCACCAGCGACTTCAGCGTACAACGCTTCGTGTCGACGCCGAAGTAATTGTTGCGCCATGCCCAGTCAACCTTCGGGTCAAACGTCGCGAATGACGTGTGCTTCCACGACTCTGCAACAGGAATCGTCAGCTGTGGGGCAATCTTCAGGCGGTACGCATCAGTGCGGTAGAACTCAGCCGCAGAGCGCAGCATTTCCTTCAGTGAAAACGTTATCAGTGGGGCACCGTCCCGCACAACGGGTGTAATCGAAAGCGTGTTGAACGCAAACTGTATCTCAGGGATGGCGCTGATGCCAATTTCCTCCTCATACTGCCGCATCTCATCCTGCGTCAATATGCGTGAGAGCTCTGTTACCGTGAACTCCCAGCCAGATACTTCCTTCACACGACGTTGTGGCTCCTTGGAAAGAGCCGGGACTTCAGTGAGTGGCGTCAAAACAGTCGTCGACGATGACGCAGGTGAGAGGACAGCCGCCGCAATCTTGGTCCCTGGAGGTCGCGGCAGCGATTGCACTGTCATTGTGCCACCACTACGGATGTCTGAAGCAGCGGCAGTGGGTGTGGCTTTCGCGTTGTGTAGTGCCACGTTCGCCAGCATGGGATTCATCGACAGCACACGTCCCATCGGAAACTCCAGGTGCTGTGAGAGAATCTTGGCGATGGTCTGCAGGCCTTCTGAATCCACTTCATCAAAGAAGCCCAACTGGGTGCTGTCAACGTCAATTAAACCAACAACGTGTCCCTCTGTTGTTTTGATTGGGATGACAATCTCTGAGTTAGAAAAACTATCACACGCGATATGGCTAGTAAACTCATGTACATCCGCGACGATGAGAGTCTCCCCCTCCTGCGCAGCTTTCCCGCAGACCCCGCGGCCTAGTTTAATCTCTGTGCACGCTGGGCGGCCCTGAAATGGGCCAAGCACAAGCAGCTGTGGGCTCTGCAGCAGATAGAAGCCAAGCCAGTTCACAGGCAGCTGCTGGAGCATGGCTGACGGATTCGCATGACGGTTCAGCTCGTAGAAGAGAAGCGCAGCAACGTTGCTCAAAACGATCATAGTGTTCGTGTTAGGAACAACCTTGCGGTTTGGGAGGTCGGCGAAGCCTTCCACTTGAAGTGCAAGATGAGCGTACAATTCCTCCTTGTTGTTATATACAGGTCCGGGACTGTCTTGTGTCTCCATCTTTGTGTTTAATGCAACCAGTAGGGCTTAGCACTCTTCTTCCCACCAGCCGCGCCATTGAGGGCAGAATGAAACAAACGAAACCAAAAAAAAAAGGCACCGTGAAAAACAGCAGAAAATCATCAACACAAAAACGTGGAATCGGTCACTTTCCAGAGGCATCAGAGAATTATTAATCCCCCGCCGGAGAGGGTGAGACGAGAAAATGCATCATTGGATATCCAGCAACGACATAGGAATATGCAGCGGGTGGCTAAGCAGGCGGCCGTGCAGCTCCCGCGGAACGACGGCCTCCTCCATGCAGGCCGCACCGTACAGTCGCTGCAGGTGCGGCATGGCGTGCTGCGCCACGGGAAGCTGCAACGTGCGGCCTGCCCCCGAAAGCACATCATGGAAGGGAACACGTACCAAGGGAAATAGCTCGTCACGCCGCCACCACTCATTCGGCCACGTCTTGCGGGCACTGCCGCGCGCCAATACCAAGAAGTCATCCCACTCTTCAAACACAAATATATCCACGAAGTAGCCGTATCGCATGCAACAAGAGCCACCACTCTGCGTCGGTGGTGGCAGCGACCGGCTGTACACCTTGTACCCAAAGAGCGGCACGTACTCGAGCACAAGGTCACTTTCGCCGTCCGTCGCCGGATAATAAAATGCTGCGCGGAGTTTCGTCTCATCAACCGCGGCAATGGCGATATCAACGTCGTCGTCCCACGGGATAATACCGTAGTTGCGCACCGCCCCTAGCAGAGTACCCGCCGCTGCCCAGCACTCAATGCCGGCATCGTCCAGCACACAAAGAACAGACTTCAGAAGACCATGAAGCTCACTACGCATTTCTACTGGTACCACAAGACTCCGCATCAAGGAACTGCAGCTCACCGGACACACCAGCGCATGACTCCCGTCAACACGCTGCAGAACTTCTCCACAGCCTGCAACATCATACGGAAGGGGGCAGGGGCAGCCGAAGCACTTCAAACGGTGCTGCAAAATCAGCGAATAGACGCTCTGCCCAGAGAGACCCTCAGCTACACCAGCCTTATCAAGCAACTCAACCACAGTGTTCTCATAAGCGCTCGGAAGCCACCGTCCACCATCCCTCTCAATAGAGCAAAAAGCCCTACGCACAAAACGATGACAGTCCGACTCGTACCCACTCGGCCGAAACGCCAAAGATCCAGCAGGAAGACAGCCCCAACATGAGTTTACCAGCAGAGCGACGGCCCGACGCCTCGCAAAATTAAAAAGCAACACAATACCAAACGATGACATGCGGCAGCCACACCTCCAGACACACCCACACGCACACGCACACTCGCCGTGGCCGCCGCCGCTGCTGGCGAAAG